TATATAGTGTGTGTGTGTGTGTGTGTGTTATATATATATATATATATATATATGTACGTATATATACATGTATGTGTGTATGTATATATATATGTGTGTGTGTGTGCGTGTGTGCGTGTGTGCTTGCATGCGTGTGTGTATGTGTGTGTGTGTGTGCATATGTATATGTGTATGTATATGTTTATGTATATTGTATGTGTGTGTGTGTGTGTGTGTGTATGCATATGTATATGTCTATATATATATGTGTGTGTGTGTGTGTGTGTGTATATATGTATATGTATATGCATATATATATATATATATGGCACAAAAAAAAACGTGTATACTCAACGATAATACATCAAAATTCCTATGCTACCCTGAAGAACTTAGCAGAATTGATGATTATGTTTTCTGCAAATAATTTTTTTCTTTGGATCTGAGGATCTACACTCTTCCCCTGGTTCAGTCTGGGATGTTATGTTTCCGCAATACCGGTTGTATTGTATCTTGGTACTTGCATCTCTGTTTATAGCATATACACACAATTGCACGGCGACGTCTCTCCCCTTTGAATACTCAGTTCAGTCATTGGTAAAACACACACAAGGTGTAACTTGTACAGTTAGTTCTCCATCAGTCCCTACCTTAGCCACGTAAACGTATCTTATAACAATTTCTTAATCAGGGATGGTCCACGAATGCGCTTCGACGAGGAAGGGATTGCGGAGATCGAACGGACAAAGGACTATGGGTTCATGAAGATTGACGAGCCCAAGACCCCATACCATGCACCAGAAGAGGAGACAAACGGCATCACAGACGTGCCCGATCTTGAACTTGCAGGTACATGAGAGGCTTGGTTCTCTGCCATTTAAAAAGCATTTGATGTATGCCATACAGCTATGGCTCTGTTGTAGACTGTGTGAGTGTGTAGGTGCGTACCACTGGTTACCTGTTGTCCCACTGTTGTGTTGGCTATTTGAGTCTACTTCTCGTGTGTGGCTTGATTAGCAATATGGGCAGTTGGTGTGCTGCACTGTATCACAGACTTCACAAACATCACAATCGTCACATACACCGAGGACCATTGTCATGTTCGTATGCATATTTGTTTGTATATACGCATACACTATTTATTTATTGTGGGTTTCAGAGCTTATGCATTTAGCTGTTTACCAGATACCATCTGTGTTATAAACATAGATTACAGAAGAAAAAGGGTGTTGTGTTCGGTATGGCACTTTTGTGCATTCGGCCCACTCGCGTCTAATGCGACTAGAAAGCGAGTTGATCACATTGCATACATTGTGTATTATCTGTTATTTTGCATGAATGCTTTTAGGTGTTTACCAGATATCATCTGTGTTATAAACATAGTTAACTGAAGAAGAAAAAGGTGTTGTGTTCGGTATGGTACGTTTGTGCATTCGGCCCACTCGCGTCTAATGCGACTAGAAAATTACATAGATTGTGTATTGTCTGTTATTTTGCATGATTATCTGATCAGGGATTCTATCTAGCAATCCCTTTTTTTTTCTAAATGTACACTTTGGTGTATGTATGTATTTCTAGCTATATATACCTGCCATTTCATACATGTTGTATGCATGTACTTGGCAAACGATGTGTATGTGGGTACATACATACTCATGCATACAAACACACATGTTACTGTACGTACGTGTCAACCTTGTAGCAGTTCTGGGTCCATAAATACAAAGCATATTTATGTTGTCTTCGGGTGTGTGGAACCACCTGCTAGTCCCCTGGATCAATGCCCAACCCATAGCCGACGGAGACAGTACCGAACTTGTACATATCGATCCATGGTGCGTGTATAACTCACGCTCACACCACGTGCGTGCACCCCTCTATTCACAGAGCAAGAGAGTGATGGTGAAGATAAGAAGACGGAGGACTGGTCAGACGGAGACGATGAATCTGGCGAAGGTATGCGTGCCGTGGTAGTGACGTATCTACATCTTGTGTATTTCTGTGTTTTATCTCTTCAGGTGGCTGCGCAAGTTGCGCACGCTGGTACAATGCTGGCAATATATCGGTATACCTACCTAGTATCTCTTTGGCCTTCTCCGCTGTAAGTATTCACTTTACTCGAGAAAAGAAGTGCACGTTTTAGAGTTAGCATACTTGAGTGCCGAATATTCAATGGCATGGCACTCGATTGATTGGCTTGCAACAGCGGCTGTGAGCGCCTCAGGTCCGCAGTATATCATCTGGACCATTAATCTTATACAATCAGACACATCTTGTTGCATGCATACACACTTCACACAACGAAACTCTCTGCTTATACAACTCCCAAGCCAGTACAACAACGTATATGTAGGTAGATGAAGCTGCGTTTTGAGATGCTTACCTACCCTTTCTGCTCCACACGGCTATCACAGACGCCGCCTTCAAAAAGAAGCGTGCCGCCCACTATAATGAATTCCAGAACGTGCAACGGGCGAGAGAACTACTTGAACAGGAGGATGAAGACGAGTAGATGCACACCCACTGCCTAGTAACTTCTGGCTACGAATACCTATGTAGCATTGCTACCCCTGCTTATGTATTTTGGTGTACGCCCGACATACATCTCTGTAAGTCTTGGAGGGTATCCCGGACAGGCTATACGAGACGTACTCTTTGATGGGGCGCTGACAACAATCATCTGAGTGGAGTGTTTGCCGTAAGTAGCTTCAATACCTACTCGTATACTACAGTGACAGTCTAGGTCCACTCGGACTAGCTGGCACAGGCTGGCATAGCCTGAGCAACGGCTTTTTGATGCACGTCTGTGAGCTAATTATGGTGCGGAACAGTTGTTTGTGTACGAATATATCTTTGACTGTGTATAGTCATTCCAAAGAGTGGGTAGTGTATGTGAATTTAAATTTATTTACATATATATGTCTGCCTCGTGTGCATGGCGTTACAGGCGGTGATGCTTGACGCTGGCCATACAACTTCGAAAATCTGCGTGATATGAGCACTCTGTATCACAAAGTTCAAATATGTATGTCACAGGAACATTATTATGTATACCAATAAAGATGTCATAACCATTTGCTTTCATGTTTATTTATTACTTTTATACAATGAAGTCTGTCTATGTTGCCCATGCCGGTGAATGGACTAACAGGCTCAACTCCCTCCTATATAGGAGCACCTAATTTCCGTCTCAGCAAAATAAAATGTGTGGAACTCGTCGGATGCAATGCAAACTTTTGGGTGTTAACGCCCCTCGCATTGCACACGTGTAAAATCGAAACTGTCCCCACTCACTAACCAGATATGACGCCACGTGCTTGCTACCAAAATAAAATCATGTGTGTAGTTTTGTGTGTGCGTGTGTGTGTACCAAGTGTTGGATAGATAAACTACGTGATTGTGTTTTATGTCGTCGTAATGTGGTCGAGCCGTGCTTGCTACCATAATAAAATCTTGTGTGTGGTGGTGTGTGTGTATGTGTGTGTGTGTGTGTGCGTGTGCGTGTGTGTGTGTGTGCGTACCGAGTGTTGTATAGATAAACTACGCGGCTATGTGATTGTGTTTGTTTTGCCGTTACGTGGTCGACAATTCAGGGCTGCCCTCGCGTGTGCTCTGTTCTCCGCGGCCCGATAGACTGTAAATTATGGTAATAATAAAATGTGGTGGTATGTACACACATGGTACATGCAAAGACCATTTGAGTCACGGAAAGATAAAGATGGATGAGTTTACATACAATGCATAATGCGCAACTGCGTGGCTATGATCTGTATGGTGGTTGCTATGGCCAGCGTCGTTGAGCCTTGGAGGACTTGTGAGAAGTTGAGTCTTGAGCCATGGCCCTCTGCCCCTCTCTCTCTCTNCTCTCTCTCTCTCTCTCTCTACTACTACTACGTACTACGTACGTAACGTACTAACGTAACGTACGTACGTACGTAACGTACGTAACGTAACGTAACGTA